GCCCTTTTCATGTGGACGTACACATATAATTGGACTGAAATTTATAGAATTTTTTCATTTGCAATGACGACATTCCTTGAAATTTCCGTATTACGGCAACGCGATAAAAATTCCCAATAAGTGTTCCCGGAATTTCCGCGAAAATATTACTGAAATCTACAGACATAATTCCTGAATTCAAGATTTTCCTTCGATTTTCAGGATCATGTCACTGGAATTTTTTTACAAAATGACTTAATTTTAACATTGCTTGCTCATTGCATTTCAGAAATGCAGCTGCCTNGACACATCGATTCCTAGGAACAACGTTTTTTTTTCTCGGTAAATACAGACTTTAGGGAAATGTCAGAGTGCAGTGAATAAACTTCACTCGTCAATAACTCCATAATGGCAGAGTGAAATTCCTTGATATTTTTTCACTCTCGATTAATTTTTGAAAGATTCAAATTGATAGTTGATTCATTCACGTTCCATTCGTTCCATTCCATCGTGAGATATTGTCGATTGGAGACAATTTTTTATGGTCACTGAAGGAGGCAAACCATTCATCTAAATCTCGCAATAATCTGCGAAATATTCATTAATCTATTATTATTGAATTAATCCCATTATGTGTAGATCGCTGGAGAACAACGAAAACGTTCCAACCGTTCAAACGAGTTGGAATGTTTTCTCTCTCCTTCTCCATTTTCTTTCTCACTCGCACTCGTTAAGTTTGGCGAAGGACGGGCACGTGCCAACGCGACGGACACTGCAATGAGTGGGAGCGAGCGCGATACATATTCCGTTCTCACTCAGGGGGTGATCACCGACATTAGTATACCCGCCTGTTTTACCAACAAAAGTGTACTCGCACTTAGTTCGTGCGCCACCACTACGAAAAAATCCAGTCGAAACGTTTACATTGCCGTGGCAGATCTCCCCTATAATCTCTGTTCCCACCAGCCGGAGTTGAGCCTCCTTCCCTCTAATCTCCATGGTCTGGCCTTACCCCGTAAGAAATTCCAAACCCCAAGAGGACATCTCTGCAAGAGGTTTGAAACCACTTATTTCCGTCGATAACACAAATCCCTTCAATATAAGATATATAGTATGCAATATTACAAAAAAAAAACTCTGTTTCAGATCATTCCTTCTTGAGGTTAAAAGTAAATAAGATATTATTAATTGGAGGAGTTTATCACGAAAGAAAATATTTCATTCACTATCTATTTATCATGAAAAAATATTGTATCCCTCATAGCAATGGGCGGGACAATCAAAAACATCTGTACAAATTCAGCATTAAAGCATGATAATTATTCTGAAATGATCGTGTGGAATCAATAGTTATATTAGCGCGATAAGAAACTAGTGACACAGTTTCTGTTCACTTTTCATGGTCAAGATCATTGTCTCGAGCCTGCCTTGCTACATCCCAGTCCCCCTTTTTTCCTTTACCTGCTTCTTGGATGTCCCGTTAACGTTGATCCCTTCCACCTCAAGTTTTACAGTGCGTTGAACCAAAACGTTATCCTACGTGGTACAACCACGATAATACGTGTGTTATATTATAAGTTTAAACTCCGCTGTCCACACACGTATAACGACGAATGTGACTACGTGTCATTAGAATCTACTAGCATTCAATTTTTTCATATTATTTCTTTGTTTTCACTGTGTAATTTGTGCCCAAGTGGAGAGTTTAAGTTGTATTGGATTTGATATAGTGTCAAGGATATCATACAAAACTTAATTTGATTTTGCAGCATATAATGATTTATTCGAGTTCAATTTGGTGTTGTCTTTTTTAAGGAAAATATGAACTCTGAAACGAAAAATTATTTTCTATTCCAACAAAGTTAAGTTTATCAGTGATTTTACATTAGTAAATTTATAGAGAAGGGACTGATAAGAATAAGTTATTTAGAATTGTTGAAATGTCAGGGAGGAATCGAGTGAGTGCCAATGGGATTCGCAGTGCATTGACGAATGATGCTTCTTGCCCAAAGGAGCGGGCGAAGAAATCTACGTTTATTGCTTACTTCTTCTGGATGTTAGGAGGTTTTTTTGGAGCACACCATCTTTACTTAGGGAGAATTGACCATGCAATTATTTGGGCAACAACACTGGGCGGCTACTTTGGTATTGGGTGTTTTAGGGATATATGGAGGATACCTACTTATGTCAAGGATGCTAATGAGGATCCAAATTATATGGAGATTTGGAAAATTATTGTTAGGCAAAATAAGAAGGTAATTTTTTTTTTTGAAATACTTATGATGATGTTGTGACTTACAGTTTCTGGCTCATAATTACTGTTGAAAACTGATGAGACGCTACGCGTTCGTGAATCCCTGCCTACGGCCATTATATTAAAAAATATTCGTCGCACGGCCGAAAAAAAATTTCTGGCTAATATGATTGCAATCCCCGCCTTAGGCTCGGGCTGCCAGCTCATTCGCTAGAAAATTTTGTTTTGCCTTATGACGAAATGTACTAAAATCGATAATTTCGTCGCCTGATCGTCGGCAAGTATAATAACGAAAAAGGTGATTTTAGGACGATGACACCGAATTCGACAATTCTATTTATTGAAATTGTAATGAAAGAAAAAACCCGATGAATATCCCTCGAGCTTAAAAATGGATCTGAGTACTTCCCTGCATAGGAATATCCACGCGTTCCAGACTTTTTAACCTGCTCCACTCGACATGTTCATTTGTATGGAAGGATATGGCATGTCGATCATTTTAAAGCTCTTCGGGTATCGGAAACGGATATTTAAAGAAATCGGAATTTCAGGGTCTTTTGATGAACCACTTCTTTCGCAACATAATCTGCCAGTAATTTTCGGACTTCCCTTGACCACTTTACTACAACTTGAAATTCTTGACTTTTTCTCCCTAATGATTAAGCCAAAATATTTCATTTCAGCCACAATTTTCCACCGCTCGATTCGTTGGGTCACTAGCGACTGGTCATTTGTGGGGTGAATTATTTCGCTGTGCTATCCCTGAAGATGAGATCTACGGGATGAATCTGAAACCACTCCTGTACCTTGTGCCAGGAGTTGTTGCCTTAGGTAAGATTCACGATATCCTTGATTTCTCTTTGGTGTAGACATGACGTCCACATTCCGTTGAGATTCTGTCCACATCAATATTGAACGAACAAATGAGCAAACGTTATTGTTTCAATTACTTCCTAATGCAGCCATCAATTTAATTGCAATCAAAAATCAATTCTGTGATGAAGTGTCAAAAGTAGAAGAGTATAATTATAGTGGACTGCGTCAGCGGCCGCGACGTCGAGGCCATTTCATTAGGCCCTTTTTTCTATAACTAGCGCCGACCCGGCCGCAAGTGGCCGGGCCGTTGGTCTTGTGTCTTGTTTATGTAATGGAGAATTTAACGAATTTGAATGACAATTCCATTTTTGTTGAGTCATACCATGACTTTTAATAATTTCATTTTCATTCGATTTGCATCTTAATTTATGGTTTTGTCTGATGCTGAGATTACACCTGAAGGACTTTTCGCTAAATATAATGGAATTTAAAAATTCATGATAATCTTTTATGTGCTCATTCTGTTTTCAGTCTACTAAATGACTTAAAATATTTACCATGGAATGCTTTACATATTTAATAATGCTCTTATTTGATATTGTTCGTTGATATCATCAGAGTATCGAGTGAATACAGACTCAGATTTAGCAAATGGAAATGAGAAAAATACAGAGCAAAAGTAGAAGCCAGGTGTCACTTGATTTTATGAATGGCTTACAATTTTCATACTTCATTTAATTCTCATTTATTACCATTTTTGTTTGATTTTCATCGCTCACGCTTGTTTGGATTGAAAAATAGTGTCGTTTCGTCTGATCGATTTAAGGGGTAACGGAACCGACCGCAAAAAGACGTCTACCAAAAACAAGTTTTCTTGGATTCTATGCAATGAGAATCAATGAAACTTCTTCCCCATATTGAGAGTAGCGGAACGCATCGCTCTCTTCTCATGCTTTTCTTATTTATGCAAAAAAAATTGCAAATTATTTAACAGCAAGGACCAGGGCAAGGCCGATGCCATTTTATTTGTAGGAATCTGCCAAGTCGTGGTAGAAAAACCGATTTTTTGTAGATTTTTCTTAGCCGATGGCTATTTTCATGAGAAGAGAGCGATCGAGTGAGGTCCAAGACAGAGATTTTACAAAAACGTACTTTTGTTGCGTAATTTTCGTAAAAACTTGTTTATGATGATTGGGTGGTATCCAGGAGGTAACATGTCCTTTACAGGGCAACAATTGTAAGAGGGAAGTACTTTTACGTGTCAGAAGATGATGTAGAATGTTTCCATACCATTATTATTTATTTATATCCATTTATTTATATTTTATGGGCTTTTGTACAGTGTTACTAGATCGTGACGTCACTCCGTTTAAAATTGTACAGGTTTTGGCTATAAATCGCCAAAATCTGGCAACCCTGCTTTTGTACTTTTCACGCAGAAAATCCAAAAAACCACGGGAACCTGCAATATCGATAGGAGGGACCCCTAATCTCTACGTGCGACGGGTTCCGTTTCCAATTAAACAGGCATTTCCCCACTTACCGACCGTGATTCTTTTAAAAAATTATAGAATCCTGTGAATACCTCATTTTTAATAATATTCGATGACTTTTCCTTTATTTGTCATTTCGTGTAATAATCGAGATACGTTTAAAGAAATTATTCATTTTTGTCTCCTTGAATTTTCCGTCCCTGAATGTTTGTTAAAGTTCTTTTCGGGCACTTTTGTTTCCTCCATTTTTTTTACTTTCTTCACCCGATTAATTAAATTTTTCCCTCTAGTTCTAGTTGAATTTCTCCACCTTTCGATTATTGTTTTTTTACAGGCTCTATTATGTTTTTCTCGCTCAACTATAAATATTCAATTCAGTTGTTTTTCAAGATTTCTGAATTCTAGGATAAAAATATTTTGGAGTTTCATGTAGATATTTGAATTTTTCTTTTTTAAATTCCTAGATTATATTTGAAATCATCCTCATGAAAAAAAATTGAATCTCCGCCAGTGCTAAATTGAAGAAAACCAAATGATGAGTCATCTCAGACATATAACTATACAACTATTTGAGGACATATAACTATTTGAGGATTTTAGGTAAAAAATTTTGGCTATTTATTCTCTCCCCATGCCAAGTATTTTTTCCAAGTTTACTGGAAGATTGATTGAATGAAAAAATTATGATTCATAATACACGGAGAAAAAAGTTGGATAAAAATTACCATGAAAATTGTGGCGAAGTTTACTGTACGAATGGTAATCGTGGAGCGAAGCGTAATTCGATGAAAAAATAACTGTTTGTGGAGGATATTTTACAATTCGTTCAGTAAAAAAAACCTATGTATGGATGCAAATATTATCCTCCTGTACAGTAAAATTTCCCACACCGGTAGGGTATTTTTCCTTCCGAACGGAAGTTTTGTAATCGCTAAAATTTAAGTTTCCAATTTTTTGTGTTAGGGTAACTAAATAATGTGATTTTTAAATGGTGTCTGTATGTATGTGTATATATGTATGTATGTGTTTTTTTTCTTCATTTTTTTCCTCGAAATTTTCTTATAAGGGGCGAATTGAATTTCATAAGTTTTTTCATGGTTATAGACTTTAATAAGCTCTATTCATTTACACCAATTCAAATTTAATCTTTCATACAGATTCCAAAAAATATGTATTTTTCAAAAAATGTATTTTTCAACGATCACCCAAAAAAATTTCATCAGAATGGAATTGGTTATGGCTCAAAAAATTGATAACGATACTCTCATCATTCAATCGGAATATGATGGGGGTCGCACGATTCATTGTTGAGTCACAGCAGATTCTTTATGCGATTTGAAGGAGAAAATCAGTCAGTGTGCCCTGGGAATCCAGGAGCCACGTTACAGCCACGGTATTTGCGTGGCTGTTGCGTGGCTATTAGGATTGTCATTTTTTGAGGCTAAGAAGGGGGAAATGATATCTGAAAACACAATAAAAGTGGATAGACGAATTATTAGTTTATATTTGCACTGTTTATAACATTGTTTTCTATCAATTGATTAAAATTAATGTGAGTGTATATAATGATAATAGAAGTCCCGTAGGGGAAATGCCAGGAGATGGCGGCAGTGTCGACATCCCAACGGGGTCGGTCAAGTCGACAGCAGTCGCAGCCAGAATAAGTGAGACCCCAACAGAGGTGGGGCGCCACGGTCGATTCTAATGGCTGGGCGAGCTGCCTGTGCCGGTAACTCGGCAGTCGGGCCAGAAGAAGAATATCCATGGATTTTTGGAGTGGGGGACAAGCATATGAGTGAGAATTACGTAGAGTGGGGGTACCCTGGGCAGGGAAAACTTCTACTAGAAGCCCTATAGCAGTCTCGCTGTCACTGAGGGTAGGTTCGAAGGGGGGTTAATGTCCTCCTTGTCCTCAATATTTACTTTATGTTTTTCCGTTGATTCATTCGCCCGCTAATTAATATTAAGGGATGAGACAAGGACCTTTCGATGGAGAATTAGATTCCCCATCTATCAACCCCCGTTTCATCCCTTAATCTTTGTAATAAAAAAATTGAAACTGCGACGAAAGTTACGGCGCTATGAGAAACCCAATGGTTTCTCGGCGCAGAGCGCCACCCCAATAATTCGCCCGCTAATTAAAAAATCGGCTCTCCCCTCCTAATTAACATTAAAGAATGAAACCAATGCTGTTCGATGGAGAATTAAATTCCCCATCCAGCAACCCCCCTTTCATCCCTTAATCTCTGTAATAAAAAAATGAAAACTGCGACGCAATTTACGGCGCTATGAAAAACTTAATGGATAACTCGCCCACCAATTAAAAAATCGTCTCTCCCTTCCTAATTAATATTAAGGAATGAAACCAATGCTGTTCGATGGGTAATTAAATTCCCCATCCAGCAACCCTCGCTTCATCCCTTAATCTCTGNAAATTAAATTCCCCATCCAGCAACCCTCGTTTTATCCCTTAATCTCTGTAATCAAAGAATAAAAACTGCGACGAAATTCGCGGCGCTATGAAAAACTTGATGGATAACTCGCCCGCTAATCAAAAAATCGTCTCTCCCCTCCCAATTAATATTAAGGAATGNTTGATATAAGGCCATAGGTCTGCCTTACTCTTTCCATTAACTTTGAAAAAACGACAGATTTTATCATCCTTGCAATAAAGTTCCAACACCGTGATTGTCATTTGCTCAGTTACACGGCCACGATGATACTCATGTTTCGTAAGAAATGTCTCATCAATCATGACTGTTTTTCCTTCCTCGCCAAGACAAAAATCGGTTTTCGAACAAACGACTTCAGCAATCTCTCTACAGTAACTGTAATAATCCACAACAGTATTNGCAACCCCCGTTTCATCCCTTAATATCTGTAATCAAAAAATAAAAACTGCGACGAANTCTGTGCAGAGACGAGAAGTTCCAGGATGGACAAATCGTTTGATATAAGGCCATAGGTCTGCCTTACTCTTTCCATTAACTTTGAAAAAACGACAGATTTTATCATCCTTGCAATAAAGTTCCAACACCGTGATTGTCATTTGCTCAGTTACACGGCCACGATGATACTCATGTTTCGTAAGAAATGTCTCATCAATCATGACTGTTTTTCCTTCCTCGCCAAGACAAAAATCGGTTTTCGAACAAACGACTTCAGCAATCTCTCTACAGTAACTGTAATAATCCACAACAGTATTCCTACTCAATACTTCACCATCATTGTGTTGTCGTAGATTAGTCAAATATTGCCAAACCTTCGTCACCTCTTGTTTGAGAACAAAGCACAACACAATGGNGAAAAACTGCGACGAAAATCGCGGCGCTATGAAAAACCCAATGGTGTCTCGGCGCAGAGTGCCACCCCAATAATGGGACGATTACGATTCCTTTGGCGCCACAGTACGACACATGTTTTTCGTACCATTTTTCCTCAGGAATACGAGAAAAATAAAGAAAAAATTCCCTCTCCATAAAATCTCGAGATATANTAAGTCTGGGGGTCTCACGACTTTTG